ACAGAGACCACAGCGTCTGATAGACAGAGACCACAGCGTCTGATAGACAGAGACCACAGCGTCTGATGGAGACAGAGACCTGTTTGTTTTTTGTATTTATATTGACATATTTTGGTGTTTTTTTTAGTTTAGCTTTTATTTATATAAATTTTTATTTTATTGTATTTTTTTGTTTAGTTTTGATGTTTTTATTTTTACCTTTTTTAGTGATTCTTCTCTTTAGTTTTTTATTTGTAAGTTAAATTCTGGATTCTAAATCTTTTCCCCAAAGACGTCAATTAACAGGATTTCAGGGAAAATCAGAACATGATTTCACCCTAAAAATAAATGAAGTAAAGTGGATTTTTGAGCTGCTGTGGGCTGCAGACCGCAGCGGCGCCTCCTCAGAGCTCCATGAGACGCCTCCAAGAGCGAGGAGGTGATCAGATAAAGGCTGATGTCAGGAGGAGCAGGTGCAGCTGCTCTCATCACCTTTACAGAGGCAGAGAGAGAACAGGTGGTTAAACTGTGAGGAAGAGGAGGCTGAGCTCAGAGATGAAGCTCTGCGTCACAGGAGGAGAGCTGATGTCTGGAATCGATTTAACATGAAGGACGGTAAAATAGATGGAAGCCACAAAGAGATTGAGGAGGATTAGAAAAGATGATGAGATGCTCGCTCCTTCTGCTTCTCCCAGTCAGCTCTGATCTGGTCCAGGGCTGTCGGTAAATCTGGTTTGGATTAAACCGCATCAGAGGTTTAAAGATGGGGTTAAGGGGAAGCAGAAGCTGCTGCAGGTTCTCCTATTAAAGGTTAAAAGGCTGATGGAACAATCTGAACCTGAAATATGGATCAGTTCATCTCGTCATGAAATAGCGCCCTCTAGTGGACGCCCAGATGCTATCTCACTGATCTCAGCTGGCAGCTGCTGCTGGGGCCCACCTGGTCCTCTGTGATCCACCGGGACGGGGCGTTAGTGCCAAGCTCCTCCAGCGGGTAGATGATCTGCTGCCGAGGCCGAACCGGAACTGACCGGTTCAGGAGGAAGTCCAGGGGCTGAACGCAGCAGGAGGTCTGTGGGCAGGAGGAGAGGGTGCACAGCTAAAGGTTAACCAGGCTGATAATGAGGTCCTGAGAGGAGGTCCATGCAGCTGATCCTGAGTGAGCTGCTTCATCATCATCATCATCATCAGTGAGGTGGAGCTGGCAGCACCTGCTGCAGCCATTTTCAGACCGATATAACCAGCAGGAGCCTGTTGGACCTCTGCATCATACCGGAGCGGACCGGCCTGCACAGGACCTCTGCATCAGACCGGACCGGACCGGCCTGCACAGGACCTCTGCATCATACCGGACCGGACCGGCCTGCACAGGATCTCTGCATCATACCGGACCGGACCGGCCTGCACAGGACCTCTGCATCATACCGGACCGGACCGGCCTGCACAGGACCTCTGCATCATACCGGACTGGACCGGCCTGCACAGGATCTCTGCATCAGACCGGACCGGACCGGCCTGCACAGGACCTCTGCATCGGACCGGACCGAACCGGCCTGCACAGGACCTCTGCATCATACCGGACCGGACCGGCCTTGACAGGACCTCTGCATCATACCGGACCGGACCGGCCTGGACAGAACCTCTGCATCAGACCGGACCGGACCGGCCTGGACAGAACCTCTGCATCAGACCGGACCGGACCGGCCTGCACAGGACCTCTGCATCAGACCGGACCGGACCGACCTGCACAGGACCTCTGCATCAGACCGGACCGGACCGGCCTGCACAGGACCTCTGCTTTTGCTTGTAAAGCGGGGAGAATGGCGCTAGGCCTTCTAGGGGTTACTATATTTGACCAAAAATGGCCGCTCCCAGACTCAGTGATCACAATTAAAATTTTTGTTTTTATTTTACTGATTAACACAAAATTAATTAAATTCATTATAGATAATGATCCATTTATTATTCCTTGCTTTTCCTTTAAATAAAATCAGCTCATAGGTGAACCTTCAACCTGCTGCATTGATTTATTATTAAGCATTAGTCAAACTGTTTTCCATATCAATATTAAATGATGATCAGCCAATCAGCTCTCTCCGTTTCCTCCTTCTATTCTAATATTCCTCCTCACTCCTACTATTTCTTCACTGAAGCTCTCTGAGGCCCTTTGTGAAGAAACAAAGTCCGCTGAGGGAAACTCTAAAGAAAGAGCTCAGGTTTGGAAAGGCCCCATCGGGCCCCTGCGGTCGGGTCGCCTTCATCAGGCTCCGGGTTTACTGACCTCCTCTGTGAGCAGAGGTGAGTAGATCCGGTGGTACAGGCAGGACTTGTGGGCCATCCGCAGAACCTTCTTGAACCAGTGCTTGGTGATGTGATAGAAGCAGGGCTTCAGGACAAAGTGGCGGATGTGAGCGTGCTCCTCGTAGCCATGGCGACTGAAACAGATCAGCTTATCGATGTCGTAGCGTGCTCGGAGGTACTCCACATCCTTAAAAACAAACATTCCCGACGGTCGGTCCCCAGAACGTCATCATCAACCCAAAGTCAGTGAGAAACGTTTACCTGCTCGTCTCTGAGGATCATTATTCCGACCACCTGACGGCCCAGCAGGGCAACAAAGGCCTGCAGAGAAGCTCCATCCTGACAAACAGCAACACAACAAGGAACAGAACATCTGCACGGAACCAATCATGAGCCATGAATACACATGAAGGAGCAGCTTCCTCGTTCGAGAAGTAATTATGGCTTTTGGAGCTGCACAGTGACAGCTGGGGTGTAAGTCAGAGAGAAACATCAGCTGAATGCTCAGCAATCTGTTCCCTGACACATGTGCCAATCCTCATTATTCCCAGACAATCGGCATGGAGCTCCAGTCCAGATACACAGAACCGTTTGAAATAAAGCTCTGATGTTGAAACTCGAAGTTCTAAAGAGTCCCGGTTTACGAAGGTTTAATGTCGACTGAAACCGGATCTTTATTGGGAACGGTTCTGAAGCAGATCTCATTTCTCTCTGTTTGATCCAGATAATGTTCTGATAAACATGCATGTCTTAATCCCACATACACCCACAGATCAGTGCCATATCATCTCATATTTCTACAGCGGTGAGATCAGAGCCTTTCTGCTGATTAATGTTAACCATTGAAACCAGTTTGGACTGGTTTGAGATTATCGTCCAGTTTTAAACACCCAGCAGGTAGATAGGGTCCAGCTGTTGGTCTAAGGACGAGCTTCCTCTCCCTGTACCTCATCATGATGTTGCCGCCGCCATGCCTAAGAGCTGGCAGCCAAACAGCAAAAGGAGTAAAAGGAACCGGGTCGACCTGAATAACTGTGTGCAGACTAACCGGGTCACTGCGCGTCCTGAAGAAAGAGTCCAGGTCCTCCAGAACCGATCCGGTGAGATTCAAAGTTTTTAGCAGGTCATAGACGGGCTGTCGGTCTGCAGGAACAGCTCGCCTGACATCAACACTCCTTCAAGAGAAAGGGAAGATACAGCCGCACAGATTATAGTTCAGCACAGATTATAATTCAGAGCAGATTATAGTTCAGTACAGATTATAGTTCAGCACAGATTATAATTCAGCACAGATTATAATTCAGTACAGATTATAGTTCAGCACAGATTATAATTTAGAACAGATTATAGTTCAGCTTAGATTATAGTTCAGCACAGATTATAATTTAGAACAGATTATAGTTCAGCTTAGATTATAGTTCAGAACAGATTATAGTTCAGCACAGATTATAGTTCAGAACAGATTATAGTTCAGCACAGATTATAATTTAGAACAGATTATAGTTCAGCTTAGATTATAGTTCAGAACAGATTAT